CAGAGCAATCTTTGTCAGAGATTGTGTGTCTGACACATTTGGAGTGGGGTGAAATGAGGGTGTTTCTTCCAGAATAAAGAAGGGGTTAGGCAGGGGGTTGTAGGGTTTTCGGAGTTTGGTTTTTTTTACATGACTGTTTGAATTGATTATTTCAATGCTATTGGGATTTTATAATATTACTAATTATGTGATAGGGTGTCTTGGCTATCTATCGTCTTTGTTATTAAAACCTAATTAAACTGATAAAGTATGGAAGCATTGCGCATCTGCAGTCTTCTATGTCCCCTGCCACGTTGCCTTTGCTCCTTAGGCTCCAGCCTGGGCATTTTGGCCTCATTCAGCAAGTTCTGATGTCTGGGAGTAATGCCATGGAAATCAGTGGGACTATTCACATGTTTAAGTGTTGTGTGATGGGGCCACAGTCTTACTTAGCACCTTTCAAGAGTCTCTTCATAGCATGATCCCCTTGGAGCCCCGTTTCCATGGATTCCCCATTTGGTAGCTACTTCTGCCCTAATCCTGGTAAGAGATTCTCCAGCTTTGTCTGGAGACTCTTCCATCATTCATTTGCACTGGGTGTCAGGGAATGGTGACAGACAATGGATCTTATCGCCTTTGCTTGGAAATCAAAGGAGAGCCTAGCCATTGATTTTGCAGGAGTACACCCTTCACTTAGACTTTAGCAAACCTGTCCACTAATTGCTACCTAATCCCTTGACTCTAAGGATTTGTCTGCACTCCAGTTGGGAGGTGCGATTGCAGAATATGTAGACATACTGGGCTGGCACAGCTTCACTGCTACTGTTGTTCAAGTTAGCTTTGATTGAGTCCTCTTCAATCTAGCTGGCTTAGGTACTGGACACAGTGAAGCCATGGGCTAAGCTAGCCCTGCAAGTACTGTAATTCCTCAGCTTCTGGGAGGACTTGTACTGCCTATGCTACCTGAATCTGTCCTTGCCAAATGAAAGCTACCTCAGGTTGAGGTCCCACTGGTGCACAGCCTATTTTTGTCAGGGGTGAAATCGAGATCAACATTCCAGCTATTGGCCAGCCTTGGATTTGATCCAACATCCGCATCCTGTATTGTGAGTGGTGCCCCTTAATCAGACCCGCAGATCATTTCTCAATGAAACGTCTGTTTAGAAACCATAACGACAGATCGTGTAGATGAAAATCAGTGATAGCATTATCTCAGATTTCCCACCTCCATCCCAGTTGCCTATTTCACTACCACCTACATTTTAAATTCCAGTTCGTGCAAATCTCAGGTCCTTACTCATGGCCAGAGAATGTCCAAAGAATGTGTATGTGCGCAGGAAGACCTCAGTTCACAAATCTCTCCCCAACTATGTAGAGAGGCGGAGTTAGCTGTATCCGTTGTAATTATACAGAGATCTGTACACACATCCAGGGATTTCTGAACAGGGGAAGGTGTGGAAAGGCTAGAACAATGGAGCTATGTATTCTGGAGGGTTGGAAGAATTTCCCTGTAAGCAGGAAAACACATCAAAAAGAATCTGTCTGAGGCACCAACAAAAGACACAACACCAACAAGGGCCCCACATTTTTCTATAATCTCTATATTGAGCTTGGATTTTAAAGTGTCATCTTTGCATGTTGTGTGTAGGCATGTTGTATACATTACACGGAGAAGTGAACTGTGCGTTCCCCTTAGAGTTTTCTGCCAAGCTTGTGGTTATATATTTCAAAGCTTCCGTTTCTCTCGAGTATGTAGAATGTCCCTCTGAATGGGTTTGTTCCTACCACCCTTGCTCATTTTTAGTAATACTTCGTGAGAAATTCCTCTGAAATCAAGTGGGCTATTTGAAGATTGTGAATAAGGCTGGCAAACTCAGGAACCTTAGGTATACTTAGGTAGGATGGGTAGTACTCATGGACATACTCACATTGAATTGGATGGGGCTAGTTGTGTTAGTGCTACTAAATGTGCCTAAAAAATCAGAACTGAATACTCAGTGAATTTAGACTCTTTTTACATTCTCAAATCAGTGGGCACAGACTTTAAGCTTTATTTGTTATTCATCAGTACTCCCCAGATAGTTTAAACAAATACATTTCAGTGCCGGAATCATGCAAAAACTATTTTGTTTTGACTGAATCATGGAATGTTTTGCTTTTCATTATGTGTGACCTATCATCTGAGGCTAAGTCTATTCCACCCCGTATTTTGGATTACGGGGGCATGAATAATAGTGCACCGCAACGGGTTGTGGTGTAACTCTCTTCTAACAGGACTACATGAATGCAATCTAGGAACCTTTAAGCAAAGTGTCCACATGGGGGAGTTACAGCACAGCACTTTGCTGAGCACTGCTATTCACACCCCCATAACTGGACCTCCAGGGCAGCATAGACAAATGTTTAAGTCACATGGTGGTGTTTTGCTACCCGTTTGGATCACTGAAACTTTTATTTTTTAAAAAAAGGAAAGAAAATACAGAGATTTCAACATGACCTCACAACTAATTCTGGTGTGGATCTTTGAAAGAAGACAGTTTGCAAGATGTTTGACAAGTATCAGAGGGATAGCTGTGTTAATCTGTATCTGCAAAAGAAACAAGGAGTCCTGCGGTACCTAAAACAGATCTATTTGCGCAAAAAACCCACTTCTTTATTTCATGGGCAAAATCCCGCTTCTTCGTATGCGTCTAACAAAGTGCATTTTTGCCCACGAAAAACGTATCTGTTAGTCTTTAAGGTGCCACAGGACTCCTCGTTGTTTTTGAAGATGTTTGTGTACCTTGAACATTCTTTTATGAACTTAAAATCATTCATGCAGATGTCCCCAGGAAGTGAATAAAAATGGTTGCAAATAATATCACAGCAAATGTTTGTGGCTTATAATCAGCCAAATCACTGCAAATACTTTTGTACTGATTCTACTCAGCTCTAGCCCTGCTAACTTCCTTTCAGACCGAATAAGGCACATTTTGATGTGATATATTTTTCTAAACATTTTAAAGATTTTTGAGATACTTCTCTAACATCTGCTTGTATTTCCTCACTTCCTTTTCCTGATTTGAACATAAAATAGTCAGGAAACTATAAGTTAGTGGGTAAGAGATTCTTGTATGTTAGGATGATATAACCTTTATTTCCAAAGCATACCATTGAAAATAGCAAACCAAGGCCACAATTACCATAGGGATAATTCTTTGTTGTGCGAATATATTGTCATTGTGAGGGGAGGTGGGGGAATAGGTACATAAAAATAAGCTGATTAAAAAAAATCCTGGGAAAAGCTGTTTTATCAGTTGGCTGTGAGCTTTGATGACAGTGCCTAAGGAAATTATTCTAAGGAAAGCAGTTGACTATGCTAGAATTGGTTTTCTTTTTCCATTTGTCTTTCTCCTCCAAAAGTGCAAAGGACATCTGCCGCAACAGAAAGCAAGCTTGGACAGGGCCTTATATTCTGCTTTCAAAAAAGCCACAATGCATTTCACTGCAGTGCACTCAAATCCTATTTGCAGCACTATGTATATAAGCTGAGAGCATAAATTCATTAGTTTAATGTTGTGGCTATCCCCTTTGCAGCTGTGCAATGTCCCTTTCAGCCAGTCTCTCTTTATGCCACCCTGTGCTGCTTTCCTGGAGAAATAGGAGCTCATCTTTATCATAAAATAATGTGCAGTGTCACATTTTATGAAGAAAGGGCTAGTCTGATGTGGTGACAGCACATTCATATCCTGATGGCTTCACTGGGAGAAAAATTTGTTTAGGGTTTCTTGGCAGCTGGCCAGCACCTAGGGCACAAGGAGGTCAATGTTGCTCAGTTGCTGGCTCAGCACCTCTCAGGATGGGGTCCAAAACAGGATCCTGTAAGCTCACTGTCCTCAATTGCTTCTGAAGGCAATGGCAATTAAGGACACTCAGCACTTTGCAACACTGGGCCCAGTGTGCACTGTTCCTGGTCTTCAAACATTGGGGGACTTGGGAAAAAATGCATTTATTCCACTGAATTCCACTTTGCAGGGAGAAGATCTGGAAATTGGTGCCCAAGTTGTTGGCAAAATAAAGCTGCTTACATATGTCCCGATCATCCCTGCCCCGTGGAAATTCCAAGATTTTAAGCTCTTGAGTTATGGTTGAGTTGTATTATGGCAGTGCCTAGGACACCAATCATAGAGCAGGCCCCTAATACTAGGTGCTGCCTCTTGTACAGTACTAGGTACTGTACAAGAGGCAATGTCCCATCCAGGGAAAAGAGTATTGCTGCCAGTGGAAGAAATCAGGATTGTGACTCTGAATGGCACACATATTCCTGCAGAAAACTCCAAGCTTCTGTGCTTAGGGCAGCATCAGCCCCTCCATGTTATGTGCCATCAGGAGTTGTGCGGCTGTTGGTTCCTTACGTGTGCAAGTGCTTTTCTTCTGCCCCATCTGCTTCTCTCTCCCAAAGAAGTTGCTGAGACAGGATTGCAACGTTTTATGATGCAATGAACAGCATCGGCTTCTACGGGGAATTGCATCACAGTTCCCCAGGGTATGGAGGGGAGATGGTGACACAGAGAGTGGCCATGCATTAGTTTGTACTAATGTGTACAGTGGGCAGTTTCCAAAGGAGTCTTGGGAAAAGGGGACGTTGCCTCATATATTTCCCCTCGCTACTTATATGCATTGCTTCTTCTTTATAAACAAACAGTGGGAAGGATAACATGTCATTCAAGATTATTTGTACTTAAAAGGAAAATAGCATGGATGCTACTTTTCCTTTATTAAACTAATATTTATTCTGGCCCATGTATGCACATTGGAGACCAGGTGCAATATTAGAACCATGATAAAACACGGTGACAAAACCCTTCTTTCTTTCATACCTCACCTTATTTGTTGTACTCGTTAACAACAGGACAGAACTGTTTGAGGTGGAATTCTGTATTTCCTGTACCACACAGCCCTCAGCAGCTGATTTCCTGTAGATGTATATCGAATACACTGGTACAGAGTGTCTTTAACAAAAACATGTCTCTCTCATCTAGTTATTCAGTTTGGCTTTGTCACGCTCTTTGTGGCCTCATTCCCTCTGGCTCCGGTGTTTGCCCTCCTCAACAACATCATAGAAGTTCGTCTGGATGCAAAAAAGTTTGTTACTGAGCTAAGGAGGCCAGACACAGTGAGAGAAAAAGATATCGGTACGTAGTGAAGAATCATTGCAATGATGGTAACACCTGGCATTCATCTTGAAAGAAGAAATTAAGATTAATCCTGTAACAAAGCTTTGTTGTTAATTCTCTTACAGGGATTTGGTTTAACATTTTGAGTGGTATTGGAAAGTTTTCCGTTATCATTAATGTAAGTATTTGATTATGACTTTGATCTTATTTTGTTCCTTACGTCTAATTTAAGTTTTAAATTTAATTTTTTTCTTAAATTGCCATAAAATACAATGAAAAAGCATGTTGCCCAGTTTGCTACTCCTTGGCTTATAAACATCATTTAAAGTTACATGAAATCAAAATTACATGAGACATGTACATTCACTCATCTCTGGTTCGGAATCATGTTATATGGGACATGGAGATTAATTTATATAGAAATCACACATTACTGGGTCAGATCCTGAAATTATTAGTCAGGCAAAATTCCAAGCACACCAATAGAGGACTAATTCTCATTTATGATTTATGGTGAAAAATGTGGTATGAGAACTGGGTATTATAATGCTTACGCACATTTACATCATTCTCTGGCAGCTTAAATATAGATTTGGATTAAGTCAATGTGAATGTAATTGACTTGAGCAGTATAAAAGAGGCTGGGGCTTGTCTCAATTAAGAAGTTTTATCAGTTATACAGCTTTAGCTGTATAGCTATACATGGATAGTTAGTTATACCAACACAACCTCTTATGTAGACACTCTGATTCCAGTATAAGAGTGGCATTTTGGATGTACCTTAAACCACTTCCCAAACAACATATGTTAGACTGAAAAAGGTCACCCATATTGGAATAAATGTGTTTGCCTGTGGGATGGTATGTTAATTATAATTATACTGTTTTAATTCACGTCTTAGGTTATACTGTAGTCCTTTCCCATGTAGACAAGGCTTAAATGAGAATCAGGCCCATAGGGTTTAATCATCATAAGAAGCAGTACTTTCCCCTGTGGATCTCAAAGCACATTAAAATGGAAAATGAATATCATCACAGATGAGGAAACTAGTATGCAAAAAATATATGATTTGCCTAACATCAGAGTATCCTGGTGGCGGAACCAGAGGCAAAATGCAGGTCTCCCACTGCCAGTGCTGAACCATGCTGCCTTCCTCCGTTTTACCTGAGTTCCCTTTGCAGGATCAGACCCTGTAGTTGTTTACACTTTCAGAAATACACACCTGGAGAATACAAACAACTAGGGTACGTCTAGACTACATGGCTCTGTCGTCTGAGCCATGTAAAATAGTTTATTCAGCATAGTCAAAAAAGCGGGGATTTAAATAATGGTAAGCCGACAATGGTAAGCCGGGGATTTAAATAATGGTAAAAAAGCGGGGATTTAAATAATGGTAAGCCACCGGAGCAGTCGACAAAGGCTTCTTTTGTCGACCGCGCCACGGCTAGACTGCTGCGCTGTGCTGGATGAGCTGATCGTTGGCACAGCGTGGTGGCCATTTTTATTTTAATGAAGCGGGGATTATTTAAATCCCTGCTTCTTTGACTATGCTGAATAAACTATTTTACATGGCTCCATTGACAGAGCCATGTAGTCTAGACCTACCCTAGTTGTTTGTATTCTCCAGGTGTGCTAATTAAAATGACAGCTGTGCTGCTCTTCTGTTGTCAACATCTGGAAAGTGAAAATGTGCATACTTGAATTTAAAAATTATTTAAAAAGGTCCTGATTCTATCACCTTTACTAATGCTGAGTATCACATTTTCAGTGGGATAACCCACCGAGTAGGGTGGCAGAACGTGGCACTAAGTTAACCTCTACTTATTCATTCTAGATACTTCTTGGGCTAATTCTATTCTCACATTGGTGTGACACCAGAGTAAAATCATAGAGCGACTCCAGAGTTAGAATGGAGAAAAGGAACAAAGAATTCATCCTTTATGGGTCCGATCTTAGTTGGTATAAATTGGCAGAGCACCAGTGAAATTAATGGAGCTACATGATTTTATACCAGCTGTGTATCTGGCTGTTATATAGACTGTGATCCTGCTCCTGTACTCTTTGTAATCAGTGAGATCAGGATAAAAATCAGTATATATGAGGCAGTTGTTATATTTACTCTTTGCTCTTAAAAATGTCCCACCTGACTAGCTATAATCTTTCCCTGGAGACAGAGATGACACATAACTATTGAAAGTAGAGGAGGGGGGTATAGTTTTAAACTCACTAGAGAGAGAGAGAGAAGGATAAACCTTGGCAGAAATCTGACAGGGCACATATCTTGCAGGGCACGTGACACCATGTGCCCTCTCTTGAGCTCCCCAAGTTGCCTCTGCTTGGAGAGATAGCAGGGAGGGATGACTGGTGTCTGTGGGGGGTGGGTGCAGGGAGGGCCACCCAGAGGGGCAGGGAGAGGACATCAGGAGGCACCCCATTTAGCAATTAATATTTTGACAGAGACACAGGAGGAAATGCACCTCCTGAGTGCCACTACAGGTCACCTATAGCTGTAGTCTAAAAACACTTTCTCTTCACTATGTCTGGTAAGTGCACTCTCACTTGTGAGATTACAAACATTAGTCTATATCTATTTGAACATGAAAGTTATAACCAGTATTTCATTTACATCCCAAGCATAACATCTGTAGATTCACTGGATTATTTTTTGTCTCCCAGGCTTTTGTAATCTCTGTCACATCTGATTTCATTCCACGCCTTGTGTACCAATATGCATACAGTCCAAATGGAACCATGCATGGCTTCATCAATCACACCCTCTCATACTTCAATGTTAGTCACCTCAAGGCTGGAACTCAGCCAGAATATTCACAGTTTGAACAAGAGGTGATATTCTGCAGGTAAAGTAGCTCTAATGGCACTTTGTCTAGGGAAAGTAAATTGTTTCGGACACGTGTTAGATAAAATTGTTTCCTGAGTTAGACCTGAGAAGATTTTCCTTTTTCTTTTAAATTATTGTCTTTTTAGTTGATTCAGATGTTTATTAGAATACTAGCCGATTAGCCCGTCATAAGACAGGATTTTCAGGTCTCTCCTCCACATCGGTCTTCTCTCCTGAGCCTCCAGTCTCTCGCTCCGTGTCTCTTTCTCTCTCTCTCCTCCTTCTACTGTCTCCCCTTCTCTCTCTCAGCTCTCCTCTGCCTTCTGCCTATCTCTCTGTCTCTTTCTTTCTCTTCTCCCCCTCCTGCCTCTCACTCTCTTGCTGCTCTCCTCTGTCTCCTTCGGGGATGTACGCTCGTCCAGGCCCTGCCCCCTGGCTGTGTACATCACCACCCCGTCCCCCTTCGCCTTCCGCCATGGTGCTCGGCTGACTTCTGCGCCGCTCAGCCAGGCTTTTGTAGGGGAGCAAGCAGAGCAAGCGGCCGTTTGGGCTCCCCTGCGGTGGTCCGGCTGAGCGGTGCAGAAGTCAGCCGAGCGCCATGGCAGGGGGG